GATTACTAGAGTATGCGGCCCTACATCTCCTCGACCCAAGACCGATATTTTTATTTACACAAGTAGAGAGCGAACCCCTCTCATATACTGAGCCGGACATTGCTTCATTATTAGAGGGCGCAGCCCTCCTTCAGCCTCAGCCCGATACTGAGAAGGATACAGAGGACAGACTTCAAGGGTGACACACTCTCATAAAAGGAAACGGACACGGAGGTAGACTCTAACTTTTGCTATTAATGGGTGTGGCCCACTCATGATATCAGCCGGATGCTAACACGGAGTTCAGCTACATTTTTAGAGAGTGCAGCTCTCACTCAACACACTACGGTGTCATCCATTTGTCCATCACAGGCTTGTACCTGTACAGGACAATGATGTCTGCATAGAGGGGCGTCCCTTCTGCTCTCAATCCAATATAGAGGTGCGTACCACATACAGTGTTCACCGCTGATGATTCGGCTCTGGTACAGGGGTATAGTACCTCACCAGTATGTAAGGGAGGCGATGATCCATAACAACTGGGCAAGGGGAGAGAACCTCTCCTCTAGATCTATGACTGTACTACCAATTTTGCTTTAGAGGTCTACCTGATCATGCAGTTTAGACCGGATTCCTCTATTTTCTATATGATCCTATCGATTCGGCCACTGTATCCCACGCTAGAAAGACTCACAGATTTATTACTGGGAGTGATTTCCCGCTTGTTTGCTTACGTCCCGGAGTCCTTATGGGACAGTATAGGGATGGTTTGAGCTGACCAGCGTGGGTTCAGCCCCCAGGTTTGCTCCATTTTGTTGGTATATATAACATCCTATAACATTCCTAACTCTGTTCAGGTTATGCAGACCATTGCGAACTAACTGCACAGACAGGTCTTTCCCATGTCAAGGTGACACAAGAGCCTGAGGCCTTCGTAGAGCAAATGTGCACTGCCGTGCTCGGGTAAAAAGGACTAAGGAAGGCCCACAGCCCGGTCTGCAGCTACGCCGTACGCATAGAAAGACCAGAGTCCTTGATTGACTTTATTTCACTGGTCATTAACAATCTTGGAATAAGATGATTGGACTACCTCCACTCCTCTGGGAACATTCTTGGAGGGCCCTCCTTCTATACCCTAAATCCCTCACGGGAACCGTATTTGGGTTTCTCACTAACCCACCTATTCAACTGTCAGCAAGGATACCTAGTTGCACTCTATGGAGGAACGATGTGTGTCCCCTACTCCTACATGGACGTCACAAGTCGGGACGCAACCTACCACTGCAGTACTACTCAGACTGGGTAACAGGCTCGGATTTGGCTGCCGACTTTTTCAAACCGGGCAACACCTGCTTCGGACGATTGAAGCTAGATCCGTGTTTCATTATATCTGCTATCTGGAAATCCTGTTGTGAGTGAAGGGACCTTACGTCTTGCTTACGCATCGGAGAACACTAGGAGTCTGCGGGACTCCAGGCTAAAGGGAGGTATTCCGATACAGGGATGCTTTGACTTCATTTATCAAATTCACTTTCCTGGGTTCCTTGGCCTAGGGCCTACTCTTGGAGATCGTACCCGGACAGTCAGGAGTGCAGGGACCTAGCGACTCATATTTTACCTTATCTTGTAGGTGGCGTTCAGGCCAGGAGTTCCATACACATATTTTGACAGGTCAGACATGGATCAGGATCGTATCGGATTATTTCACTCTCTCACTACAGTATGTGAGGACTCTTTTTCATTATACAGGTCCCAATTACCATTGGATCTGGACATCTCATCACTCTTCAATGATGACATAGCTGGATGGAAACCTCAACCTCCTTTTGGATATCCAGGGATTCACAATCCCCAGGGTAGTCGACCACGTTTTACTTCACAAGTTCAGTTCAGACCCTGATTGGACGTCCTCTGAGAGTTTCATTCCCTACCGCAGTCGCGGGTCACACAGTACCTTTGGAATACTGGAATCACTCAGGATACGGCTAGTTTTGACCGCACTCTTGCCTGCATATAAATTCTTTCTCGGAGGAGACAACTCACCGAGTAGATCATGTGTAAACGAAAGAACCTACTTGGTTCTATTATGGATTTGGTGGTAGACTTCATGTGTTACTTGAGATTGGAGATTTGTCGGCAAGACCACATCACTGGGTGCCCCTGGCACGATTGAAGGAGCCATCTTCCACATCAAGAGTCGAGGCCTGATGGCAGTTTTTCCTTTTGCGGCCCCAAAGTCCTCAAATAACCTTTGGCATTTTGCATCTACAGGAAAATTACTAATAGATCAGCTTGGCAGCTCATGAACCGGCTGCTAAGTAACAGGTCACAACCCCATGTACATTGGATCAACCAGTGGAGGGTGTTTTTTTCTGTATTTTGGGGTGCCTTGTCAGTTGGCATTCTCATTGATCCACCTACTGTCACTTCTCGCAGTTGGAAGGTCTATTTAAGATTGCTCTAATATATCCCGGAATAGGTACCAGTGAAACAAACAGCGTTGGATTGGCAAGTATTTCCCACCCGTTCTTATCCCTCCCTTGTTTAATTTTTCTAGTTGGATTAATCAGGTACGTATACAAATCTGTGGCACTTCTTCACAGATGGTGGACATTGACTTATTTATTTTACAGTCCATCAACGCTATTCGGTTGACAGTTCTTCTCGTATGTTGGACATTGCTGTATTCATCGCATCTAGGACTTCGTTTCTTCCCATAATTTTTTCTGCCTTTGTTCTGTTTTGTCGCAGCTTGAAAGAGGAAATGATGCAATGGGAAGGGAGTTTTATAGTACCTAACTTTTTTCTGATTGGTTGTTTTTCTGTGCTGCTGTGGAGTTCTAGTAAAGAGAGACTTAAGCAAATACTCGCCTCCTGTCATTAATAAAATTAAGATTATAGGTACACTAAAGTTAGCATAATCTACAATTGTTTTGGGTGCTAATGCTATATAGTACATTTGCATCCTGCGGTGCACTTCATATGTGAGAGTCAAATAGAACCATCAAATACTATGCTTACAGCACACTTTGACCCATTCAAATATTTGTAGTGATAAAAAATAAATTTGGGGTGTGCACTTCATATCTGACAGTCAAATAGAACCGTCAAACACTGTGCTTACAGCACACTTTGAAAAATTCTAATTGTTTTGGTTGCTAAATAGTACATTTGCGGCCTGAACTTCATATCTGACAGTCAAATAGAACCGTCAAACACTGTGCTTACAGCTCACTTTTAAAAATTCTAATTGTTTTGGGTGCTAAATATTATATTTGTGTCCTGCGGTGCACTTCATATCTGACAGTAAAATAGAACCGTCAAACACTGTGCTTACATCGCATTTTGAAAAATTCTAATTGTTTTGGGTGCTAAATAGTACATTTGCGGCCTGCACTTCATATCTGACAGGCAAATAGAACCGTCAAACACTGTGCATTCAGCGCACTTTTAAAAATTCTAATTGTTTTGGGTGCTAAATAGTACATTTGCGTCCTGCGGTACACTTCATATCTGACAGTGAAATAGAACCGTCAAACAGTGTGCTTACAGCGCACTTTTAAAAATTCTAATTGTTTTGGGTGCTAAATAGTAAATTTGCGTCCTGCAGTGCACTTCATATCTGACAGTCAAATAGAACCGTCAAATACTGTGCTTACAGCGCACTTTGAAAAATTCAAATTGTTTTGGGTGCTAATGCTAAATAGTACATGTGCGTCCTGCGGTGTACTTCATATTTGAGAGTCAAATAGAAACGTCAAATACTATGCTTACAGTGCACTTTGACCCATTCAAATTTTTGGGGTGATAAATAGTAAATTTGGGGTGTGCACTTCATATCTGAGAGTCAAATAGAACCGTCAAACACTGTGCTTACAGCGCACTTTAAAAAAATTCTAATTGTTTTGGTTGCTAAATAGTACATTTGCAGCCTGCACTTCATATCTGACAGGCAAATAGAACTGTCAGACACTGTGCATTCAGCACACTTTTAAAAATTCTAATTGTTTTGGGTACTAAATAGTACATTTGCGTCCTGCGGTGCACTTCATATCTGACAGGCAAATAGAACCGTCAAATACTGTGCTTACAGCGCACTTTGAAAAATTCTAATTGTTTTGGGTGCCAAATAGTACATTTGCGTCCTGCGGTGCACTTCATATCTGACAGTCAAATAGAACCATCAAATACCAATATAACAAAAAAATGAAATTTGGGGGCAATACCTTCACAAGTCAGTTTATAGGGAAAACTGTTACCTGGATACAATTCTAAAACAATTCCCATATGTCCTTTGCAGAGTTTATATGCTTGAAAAACACAGGTGCCAACTGCTGTGGCTTTCTGCAGTGTGCAGACCGGCAAGGAGGGCAGGGTTGAGGAGTGGGTGGATGATGATGTGGAGGATGATGAGGTCCTAGACCCCACATGGAATCAAGGTCATGCGAGTGACGTGTGCAGTTTGGAGGAAGAGGCGCTGGTCGCACAGAGGCACCAGCACAGCATAAGAGGGAGCAGGATGCAAAAGCGGAGCGGCCATCCCTTGGCGCTCGTCGGCATGTATTATCTTTAGAATTCCCACAGTTATCCAAGTAACAGATGGAGTGATAAAAGGAACCAAAACAGATTTAACGAGCCATTCGCAGTTTCACAGTCATGGGGGGCAATCCGGTGACACTGTCTGGGCGGTGGTCGGACGACTGGGACCCAGTATGCCTGATGTTGAAGTTAGGAGTCACAGTGTGGAATGGATTAGCACATACCACATACCAGGACCCTGATGCAGCTTCAGTAAAAAGAGTACTGGATATCAGAAGCCATCACCGCAACTTGGAACAGGAAGTGACATTCACTGTAGAGGCTGTGCGCGCTTTCGGCATTCTCACCCTGCTGCTGCTCGCCTGTCTGCGCTGCAGCGTAACTTTGGCCTTCCCGCTCACCGCCTCATATGCGACGTGCCCACAAGGTGAAACTCCCCCTTGCACATGCTGGAGAGACTGTGCGAGCAGCAGCAGGCGATACTGGAGTTTCAGCTGCAGCACGCATGGGTCAGTCGCTCTGCACCAGACTTGACCTCCAATTGATCCTAGTTAAAGGATTTCAAGTGGACTCATTACAATTACAGGGCCTCTAAAGAGTCCTGTATTGTTATTTGTCATCACTACCTCCCCGCGTCGGGAGTGGGTAATTTGCGCATCTGCTGCCTTCCTCGGATGTGGTAGCCGCTCTCAGGCTCCCTCTCCGGAATCGAACCCTGATTCCCCGTTACCCATGGTCACCATGGTAGGCGCAGAAAGTCTATCGAAAGTTGATAGGGCAGACATCCGAATGCGTTGTCGCTGTCACGGGGACGTGCGATTGGCCCGAGGTTCTCTAGAGTCACCAAAATGCCTGCGCAACTATAATGTCGAGAGATACTCTGCCTAACGGATCTTCACTAATTGGTAGGGGATGGAGCCGTTCCCTTCTCTTCCCCACTCTCTGGCAGACATGTGGCAGTACTGTCTCAGATCCTGAGAGATGCCTGGCCAGAAGAAGCTGTGGGTGAGCTTCCTCCTGCCCAAATGCCCTGCCAAGGGGATATCATGAGCTAGCTTCAGAAGCTCATACCAGTACTTCTTGGGTCGGGGCTGGTGGTCTCTCACCAGGGTGGTTGTGCTTTCCAGCACTCTCTGCTCCCTTCTTTCTACATCTGGGTTCATGGAGGTCGCCCTCTGTCTATTGGCAAGGACATAGGCTTGCACCTCCAAAAATGTCCTGCTTAAGATATCCTCTGAGGGTGGATCTCAGTAATATGCCAGGCGCTGTTCCACCTCCTTGCGCACTTCCTCCTCATCTCCGGCCCCTGTCTGGGGTTCGTTGCCTCACTGCATGCCTGGTCGTCCTCCATGAGTGCAGAAGTCAATTCGGCCTTGTTATGCCCACCACGCATTATTCCTCTGGCTCCACACAAGTCCTGCAGTGTAGGTCGCTTTAGAGCACTGTAGTCCATGGGTCTGTTGGCAGGGACATAGGATCCCGCTGCTTGCCACCGATTGAAGTGGGACCTGGGTTACCGATGGTTATCCTCTTTGATTAGAATAGGTACCGGATAGGACACAGTTCCAGGATACAACGTTTGACAATCTTCATTTGGGTACACAGCTTTGCCTCCTGTTGCCTCCTACCCCGCTTCCTCCTCCTCTGGTCAGCGTAACACCTTCACCACCAACTTCAGCACAGCCAGTGGGAAACGACAGCAGGCTGGTTTAAAACTCATATGTTTGTGAGAAGAACCCCACACCACGCAGGAGCTGTGGACGGGCATGGAACAACATACCAATGAGTGGTTGTTGCAACTGAGCCTCAAGCCCGGCCTGGTGGTGTGCGATAATGGGCGAAATCTCGTAGCAGCTCTGGGCCTAGCCAGTTTGACGCACATCCCTTGCCTGGCGCATGTGCTGAATTTGGTGGTGCAGAAATTCCTGAAAAACTACCCATATATATCAGAGTGGCTGCAGAAAGTGCATGCCGTCTGTGCGCATTTTCAGCGTTCTCACCCTGCTGCTGCTCGCCTGTCTGCACTGCAGCGTAACTTCAGCCTTCCCGCTCACCGCCTCATATGCGACATGCCCACAAGGTTGAACTCCACCTTGCACATGCTGGAGAGACTGTGCAAGCAGCAGTAGGCGATAGTGGAGTTTCAGCTGCAGCACGCACGGGTCAGTCGCTCTGCGGAACAGCACCACTTCACCACCAATGAGTGGGCCTCCATGCGAGACCTGTGTGCCATGTTGCGCTGCTTCGAGTACTCCACCAACATGGCAGTGCCAATGACGCTGTTCTCAGCCTTACTATCCCGCTTCTATGTCTCCTTGAAAAAATGCTTCTGGCGATGATGGAAGAGGATGTGGTACAAGAGGAAGAGGAGGAGGAAGAGAGGTAATTTCCACGGTTATCAGGCCAGTCATTCACAAGTGGCTCGGAGAGTGGGTTCTTGCACCAGCATAGGCCAGGTACACGATTGTCCAGCATCTTCACACTGTCCCATGGAAGCGTTCAGCTGTCCATGTCCCAAACACTGGAGAGAAAGAGGAAGTACCCCCATAGCCACCCGCGATCCCTGGCCCTGAATGCCGGCATTTCAAAATTCGTGGCCTTTGAAATGCTGTCGTTCCGTCTGGTGGAGACGGACAGTTTTAAAAACCTGATGACGTTATTAGACTGGAAGAAATGCACCGCAGGCCACAAATGTTTCTTTTTTTATATGTCCTAATATTTTGGGGGGTACTCCAAAAAAAAAAAAAAACGCAAACAAACAAAAAATAAATAAAAAATAAAAAACAGTGTTGGTTACCTCCTCCATCGCCACTTCCACCTACACCTCTATGGTCACCGCCTCCTCAACATATGGTTCACTTAGTATAAACTATGTGCACAATAGCAGAGGCTTGCGAAGGCCTTTTCTCCATGCATCAGGAGTTGAGCATTTCTCCATGTATCAGAACTGCAAGAAATGCACCGCAGGCAGTAAAGGTTTCTTTTTTTATATGTCCCAGTATTTTGGGGGCTACCCCAATTAAAAAAACCAAAAACAAATAAAAAACACAGTCTTGGTTACCTCCTCCTCCTCCACCGCCGCTTCCACCTACACTGCCACGTTCACCGCCTCCTCATCTTATGGGTCACTTAGTATAAACTATGTGCACAATAGCAGAGGCTTGCGAAGGCCTTTTCTCCATGCATCAGGAGTTGAGCATTTCTCCATGTATCAGAACTGCAAGAAATGCACCGCAGGCAGTAAAGGTTTCTTTTTTTATATGTCCCAGTATTTTGGGGGCTACCCCAATTAAAAAAACAAAAACAAATAAAAAACACAGTCTTGGTTACCTCCTCCTCCTCCACCGCCGCTTCCACCTACACTGCCACGTTCACCGCCTCCTCATCTTATGGGTCACTTAGTATAAACTATGTACACAATAGCAGAGGCTTGTGAAGGCCTTTTCTCCATGCATCAGGAGTTGAGCTCAGTTTGAACAATGAAAGAGAATACCCTGCACTACAACCCTCTCTCAAATGGATAATTCTAGTGATCCTCCTGACAGCCATGCTTTAGATTTTGATTTATGTTCTTCCAAAGCTAAAATCAAAGATTCCATCTAGTGCTATTTTATGGTCAGCTGTATTTTTTATTTTTATGTATTTTATGTTATTTTAAGTGATTTTCCTATCCACATTTGTTTGCAGGGCACTTGCCCTACTCTTACCCCCATTTTCCAGGACTTTTTTAGAGGCATTTGTAAAGGATCCTTCTATTCGTGCAGCGATGATCCTTGTAGCTTCTCCCGAAATCCAGCTGAAACAAAGTGATTATAACTCCCAATCCCCCAAACATGAGTCGAGACTTCATGAATGGGTAAAACGATCTGATTTACTGTGGGCTACCTGCTCGGTATTTATGCAGGTCTCCCACCTGGTGGACACTCCCCTAGGGGACCAGATGGAAGACTGGGACAAAAGCATTACAGTAGCCAATCACAGTGGCTATAACATAAGCACTCCCCTTTTACATAAATCACTCCCTCTTTTCCATCCTGTAGATAATTAACTTAAGTGAGTAAAAAGAGCCTTAATTATCTCCAGGTAGAAAGAAACATGGCTTTTCTTATTTTAGCAAAACAGCATAAAAATCTATAACTTACATTTTACAGATAGCTTGGATCTGAGTGCATATTCTAGGTGAATAGCGCTCAGATCCCACGAACACAGTTCTCAGAAACGTCGACTGATATTTGGCTTTCGCCAGCCGTTCGCGTGTTTGTATCCGACAAAGAGTTCCACACTGTAGCTATCTGGGGTCGGTCTCTTTCGCATAAATCCAAGTCCCGAACGGTGGAATGTCTCCGGCATTCGTGTGTCCCCAGCCGTATGAATGAGGACCTTTGTAGGCACCAGCGGTGTTCGGCGGAATAAGTGTCCGAAAAGAGTTCCAGGGCATCGCCGCCATTTACCGCTGGGCTTTCGACAATTTAAAATGGCGACTGCCACGTGTTCGGCAGACGAACACCGGCCACCCAGGCATTCGACAATTAAGCTGCGGTTAACCGCAGCTTCTGGGTGGCTAATAAGCAGCACACGCCACAGACTGGGTGGTCGGCCGTTCTGCAGTTTGTTCGTCTGTACGAACAGCCTTAATCTAGCTGTAAGGGAAGTTAAACTGCACGAACCAACATACGAATGTATCAGGGCAAATGTAAAATCCAAGCAAGTAAGGCAACCGATGCAATCCAGGGACAAAGGGCTCTGTCCCAAGTGCCTTAAGACCCAATAACTTAAAGGGCCAGCATCCCAGGGTAAGAGGCTAGCAATCCAGCTTATCCATAAGACGGGGGTAGGGCAGTTTGTCACATGAAACCCCCGTGACAAAATGCATTTTGTCACAGCATTTTTGTGCCCAAAAGTTCGGGTCCCCTCTGACTTCAATGGGGTTCGGGGTCAAGTTCAGGGTCAAGTTCGATCCCGAACCAGGACTTTTTTCCGAAGTTCGGCCGAACCCGCCGGACCCGAACATCCAGGTGTCCGCTCAACTCTACTCTTTACCTCTTGTATTTGTCTGTGTATATTGTACGTTTCTCCACTAATTGTGCGGTGCTGTGGAATCTGTTGGCGCTTTATAAATAGCAGTAATAAATAAATCAAATTGTTCTACCGCTATCCTGCTAAATGGTTCCTCAATAATTTGGAGAGGGTGGAGTTTACCCTTGCAGCGATCTCTGATCTTACCTACTCTCTGGCAAGTTTCCCACATTTGGCAATACCGCTGTATGTCCTGAGAGATTGCCGGCCAAAAGAAATTCTGGGTGAGCAGATACCTTATTTGCCTCACCCCTAAATGCCCGGATAGTGGAATGTTGTGGGCTATCCGGAGCAGTTCCTACCTGTACCTCTGAGGTACCACTAGCTGCCTGGTGAGGATCAGTTCTGTTACACTCAGTAGAGAAGTCCCTTCTCCCACACATGCCTTTCTCCTTCTAACCCAACCTGACTTGAGGTGACCCGGTCCCTGTACTGTATACTTGTAGCGTGGGGTCAGTGGTAACCTCTTTCCTAAACTCAGTGGGGCACCCCAGTGGAAACACTCTAGGGGTGGGGAAGGATCTCTTACCTGAGCCTCCGGGTGTTAGCTATGGTCCATAGTGCAGGCCTGTTGCCTGGTGACCTCCGGCTGCGTTTGGGGCTTTCACAGATCATTCCTCAATAACACCTCCGCAGACAGCTCCTACACCATTCCAGACCTCGCTCCTTAATGTAAATGTACCCGGGCTGTGGGCAACCGATAAACAGCTCCCCCCGCTACCTGAATTGCCACAGAATTTCTGGTTCATGCTGCTTCAGGAACAAGGTGCTGTTTGACTAGGGTCTCAGAGCCCTTGGACCATCTTGGCCTGTAGGTGCACGGTCCGTCAGTGGTGTTGTCTGTTGTGAGCCGCTGCTGAACCAGGTCTGCTTCATGCAGGACTTCCCAGTTCTCCTTGGGTG